CAACTTCTACTAGGACACAAGTTCAAGAAAATAAGAGGCGTGGTGTCATATTGTAGCAAAAGTGGACTTATAGTTTAACACTAAAGAAAACAGTTATGCAATTATAAATTTTAAACATAATACAATTTAAAAAAATAGTAAATTTACATTATATTTAACACTAAAGTAGCCCAGTGGGTGCTACTGGCCAATTATCTTCCCCCTTCTTCGACAATTCAAAACTAAGAAATGTGGAAGGTAGTCTTAATAGTTTTACTATAGTTCAAAATCTAAGAAACATTTATAGTGTCACTGTGACTGAAGGTCGGCATACTTGGTGACAACAGGAATCAAATTCAAGACCGTCAAATCATGAGGAAACCCAATTAATCACCAGGTCATGATGACCCAAAGTTGAATAACCAAAAACAAAGATAACTGGAAACTCTAATTCCATTTCGTTGACTACTTTTACGAGTCGTGTCACTAATGATTAAGCAGAATACAAATTTGAATTAATTAAAAATAACATTCCAAAATATTAATTTAAATTAGTTTATTTTTATGGCATCAATTGATTTAATCATGATGTCTATTAAATAATTTGATTATTTTATGTGACAATAATCGATGTAATAGATGCTCATACACAATAAATTATATCAATTAATTGAGATAATTGGGCAGCTTTAGACTGAATTATTAGAATAGTTAAGGTCTATTAGAAATGTGAGCTACATCTCCAGTTTCCTATACACACATTACACCTCCACAACTTAATAGAATTCAAATGTTTTACTCTACTGTTGCTGGAAGATTACTGAAACAAATTTTAGTTGCTATATACGATTAATAAGAATATACGTAGATGTATCTTAATGGGTTAATTATATAATCTCATGCACATGCCAGTAGATGTATTCTACGTTCTCAAAATGATTTTCCACTTTCAAGTTACAGGAACTATGAAACAGCACACATCATGGACAGATTAAAAAAAAAGGTTTATCTAGCTCTCTCTAAATCCATATAATGCATGGCAGCACTATAGCAGAACAAAATACAGAAGCATGGTTTATGTTCTTTAAGTAATGAACTATCCAGGATTTCCTCTCGTTGAGAAAAATATGTTAGAAAATTTCAAATTAAAATTTAAAGACACATGTCTAATGATGCATAAATATGAATGGAATATTCTTATATTTGCAAAATGTATATTAAAGTTAACCCAAATTCAGATATATGTGGGGGTTCATTCTGTCACCTGACAAGATTTAAAGAAAATGTAAACAGGTTTTAAAAGTAATGTTAATCATCCCATCTATCCAGTTATAATTCTAGGCCTTCAAACAATTTACACATAAAAGGTAATATTTGGAAAAATATACATGTACTAATTGTACTTATAGGTATCATAATTTAAACATATATATATATACACACACACACACACACACACACACACACGTGTACAATAAAGTTACTTTAAGAACTATTTTACTTTAATGTGTATCATGTTTCTTTTTTCAATCAAAAACAAAATTATTTAATACAATACAATATACAAACCCTACTG